AATAAGTGATTTTTTAGTTTTGTTTTAAAGGACGGAAGTTTGGTACAAATGTGCAAAGCACAGGGTAAAGTATTCCACTTAGAAACTGCATGAACCCAGAAGGCCCCTTTTAATTTATCAGTAAAGTGAGGTGGCACTCTTAGATGAAGGTTACAATGTCTGGTAGGTCTGCATCTGATACTGCTCTCCAGTAACAGCTTATTAAACAGGTAGTTTGGTGATTGAACAAGCATGGTTTTCTTAAGAAGTACCTGTGCGGCGTAAGTGGCTCTGCTCTCAATATTAAGCCAATTTAGCTCGGCTAGATATGGGCTAATGTGGCAGTCCCATTTCAGGTTAAAAATAAATCTAGCACAGGAGTTCTGTAACCTTTGCATTTTTAGTTTAGTCTGAACGAGGCCGTCTGCCCAGACAATATTACCGTAGTCAAACACAGGAAAAATTAGAGCTTCAACAAGTCTCTTTCGCACTGCGATTGGCAGAAGCTGTTGGTGTTTACGTAGCCCATGGAGCGAGAGAGAGAGAGAGAGAGAGAGAGAGAGAGAGAGAGAGATATGGGCGAGGGGGGTTTAACTCCAAGAAAACGTGTACAGAGTACTCCGTATTACACGGTATTACGTCGGTATTACATGCAAAAAAAATACAATTTTAAAAAATGTTTTGATATTTTTTGGTATTACAATACGCGTAATACCGTGTAATACCCAGGTTAGGTGTACAGGGTATTACGCAAGGTAAAACCCCCTCGGATATGGGGATGCACCGAGAGAGGATTTGAATTAGTTTAAAAGTCCCGCTACAATACGAACCTTGCTCTCAGGTACCGACCAAAATAAACTAGCATAAGCGAGAGGAATGACTGTCTAATACCTTATTGATGTCTAGCAATAAGGTATTAGACAGTCATTCCTCTCGCTTATGCTACTTTATTTTGGTGATTTTCACGCAAAGCGTGATTTTTCACGCCAGGCGTGATTTTTCACGCTAGGCGTGATGTTTCACGCCAGGCGTGATTTTTCACGCTTCGTAAGCTTTACACAGCCAATCAGGAACCGACTTTCATCACGCCTGACGTGAAATAAATCACGCTCGCGCTTTAGGAACTCTGTATTCACCTTTACTCAGGGCACGCAGCCAGGCCAACGTTGGCCCATACTCTGCGCACCACACTGTAGTTTCCAAAACTTTGCCGTGAGCCATTCCATGCAATAGTTGTTTGTCATGGTCCACGAATGCCATGTATTTGTATTTGTT